GGGTACTTCCTGTTCCACGTTTCCCTCTGCCCGCCACTTGGCAGGTTCTTTGGGTTCTCCTTCTTCCATTTTTTTCAGGCTTTGCCTTTTGTTTTTTTTGTTCGTTTTTTTTTAGCTTTGTTTTTTTCATGTGGCCGTTGGAAAACGGCATTCTAACGGGCCTAGCCCACTTTGGTACACCCACGACCTGTTAAAATGCAGACCAAAGTTCGAATCCAGTGATATCTCATATCTCAAGGCCGTCTCCCTTTCGAAAGAGTAAAACAGCCAATGCACCCCAACGGCATAATTCAGCCTTTTTGCGGCACACCCTTGAACTGTTGAGATGCAGACCTGAGATTGAGCATTCCCCCCCACAGTCGTGGTTTTTTTTTTTTTTTTCCTCGGAAAATACAGGGGTTCCGGACCGGTCCGGATTTTCCGGAATATTCCGCTTTTCCGGAAGTCCGGAGTCCAGGGTCCGGATTCGGTCCGGATTCGGTCCAGCGTAGCTATGCTTTTAACTACCGCTACCTCTCCCATATGTCGGCCTCGGGCATCTAGTAGCCTAGTCCTGAAAAATAGCCGCTGAGCTGCCATCAATATTTTTCATCGACGGCTCGTGGCGGCCGAATTCGAATCTGAGGCCCGCGGCCCCACCTATGAGAATTACATCAGGTTGCATCTGGATTGAAACTTGGGGCGTCGGTGTTTCAACATTTCATGGGTGGTTTAAAAGGGCGATGGCCTCAGATGGCCCCAGGAAAATTATGAGGTACTTCATACGTGGGGAAGCCCACTTATCACCTCGTTCAGTGGGCTTTCCCACTTATGAAGTTCTTTTTTCCTGGATTGAAACTTGGACGGTCTGTGTTTCAACATTTCACGAGCGTACCAACTGAGCTGGGCCCGTTTTTTTTTGTTTTTTTTTCACAATGCATGATGAGCTGCATTACTGTTGTTAGTTAAAGGTGGCCATGACACGTGGCATTCTTTTTCTTTCTTTTTTTTTCCTTCCCTCTTCTCTCTTTCTTCCTTCTTTCTCTCTTTTTTAAAAGGGGTCACAGCCTTGAGATGTCATCCTTGAACTGACTGGCCCTGTGTAGTTCGGAATTGTAGTATTTCACTCATCTGCTTCGAGTGGAGTTCGAGCCCGGGTCTGAATTTCAACAGTTAAGAGGTGTTGTTACATGCCCAGTTGGGCAATGTATGTACAACCAAGGATCCGCAAGGTGATGAAAAGGACTGAATGGACAATGCAGTGTTAGTGGAATCTCAACAAGCAGCGTACATCCTGATACATACAAAATGGCACTTTGTAGCGCAGCGGAAGACTTAGGTATACGCCCTGACCTGACCGGGACTGACCTCTCTCACGTAGTACAAGACAGCGCAGCGGAATGCTAGAATACCAATGACTAGCCCAATCAGTGTCGCAATGCAGACCAAACATACATCATCCTCATCACAAGGTGTGAAGGGGCCTGGCGCTACACACAGGAAGAATGCGCCAGGTCCAGACCATACACAGACGAAGAGGAGAGGATCAGACGAAGAAGAGGGAGAAGATGGGAATGTCGTCAACACCAAGTCTTCGGTACAAGTCCTAGATAATCCCTCGTCAAATGTCTGAAGCCCAATGTCGAGTCTGGATCCAATCCCTTGTCAAATGTCTGAAGCCCAATGTCGAGTCTGGATCCAAATGTCACCAATCCCGCTCTCTCATAGTCTGCTGATGCAGTGAAGTCAGGT